AAATTTTGAAAGCCCAACTACATTGGCGCCAGTTTGTGTTAGCGATCATCACAGCAACGCCTTCGTTCGAGACTTACTTACCTGCCCAGCAAAGATATTATTGAAATGTCAAAAAGTCCGACATTTATATATTTTTGTAAGCAGTGTTTTGTTTTGTTTTTTTTTGTTTTTTTTGTTTTTGTTTTTTGTAAATGTACAGAAAGTACAAAATATGATTTTAACAAGAATTATATGCGTCATTACCTGTATCTGTAGTTACACAAAATTTATTAAATTTTATATAAAACTATTTTCAGGGTATATGTTATTTATATAAAACTACTTTCAGGCTGTATGTATAAGCATTGTTATGAAATATAAAAGGTTATCCTACTTATGCTTGGGTTCATTTCCTAAGCTGCCCTATTTTATACAAACTGCATAAAAATGAAATACCCAAAGAGCCTATATTTTTGGCCAGATTTTATAGGACAATGTAACAATTAAAAAAAAGTCTTTATTTTTCACGTATAAAGCCTGAAAGAAATCCATGAAGCGTTATTATTGCTAACACCTTTAAATACTATTGTCTACCGAATAAGAGGCCAAAGAGCCACTCAAGATAGAGGATTACAGATTTAGGTTGTTGGAAGAGCGTAAAGCGACAGATTTCCGTTCACTTGAAAATGTTCAGATTCAGGTGATCGGAGAAATATGCATTTTGGAGTTTCGCAGCTTAATAGTAGCTATCTGAGTAGAACTTCCTCCTTACTAATGTAATACGTGGAACTGAGGTATATAACTCGTCTGAATATAGCAATAAAATAGTTAGAAGCTACCACCGCCCATTTGTAGGTTGTTTTAGAGTGGAAAACAATTCATCACCCATACGGCTGCGTAAACGCTTTAGAACTCCGTCGAGGCTGGAAATCAAGGATTGGGTAACTTAAATCATGACAGAAAATCGACAAACGTCTCGATATTGGCTGATAGTTAACCAAACTGACAATAATGGCAAACTGGGTCAAGTGGAGAGGGCATGTTTTCCGTGAAAATAATTATAGACAATTATTAATGAAAATTTTGAGCTCAAATGCTAATCTAATTTCATCATTTTACAGGCTAATAAGAACTACGCGACTAAATCTCTCATACGTAAAATTAATATTCATTCATCGCCGGAGTTCACCAATTAATATCTGCGAGTGAGTGTTTGGCTTTAAAGTTTTCTTCGTTGATCGTCTTCTCGCAAGCATATAAGACACTCTGTAGTTTTCTTCTCAGGTAAGACGCTTATATATCTTCATGTTATTCGCTTGCTCAACGTGTGCGCCACACCCTTGCCATCTGTTTACATCTCAGGAACAGTCGCTAATATCCTGAGAGGCCCGAAGCTGCACCTGGGGTAAAGTTTATTTCGTAAAGTAAACACTGGGTTCCCCACAGATCAACTTCTCTTAGAAGAAAGGTTCTTTATTGAGATTAAATTCGGCCAAATACAACATACCGAAAGTCTGTCTATATTTCTGAGATGAGGTATTATGTACACTATTTACTTGAGAGGGGAATCAACAGGAGATAACTGATAACTGACATCCATTAGACATGACACTCCTTATTACTGGTTCCCATAATGTATTCATAATAACAACAAAAATTGCAATATGAGCTCTGGTAAAAACATGAAATGATAACAGCAAAAATTGAAGTATGAGCACTGGTAAAATGAACTAATGAGATTAGGTTTATAATATCCAGAAATTCATACACAGATGTCCTCAAGGACACATGGCACAGTGGATAAAGACGTTGTTTATATCCAGTGACAGGACCCAAAGAGTATGAGTTCAATACCCAGTTGGAGAGGGGAATTAACAAGAGTTATCTGATAACTGACATCCATTAAACATGAGCGAAATAAAGGGTTCAGTTCGACATTCCAACCACCTGAAGAAGGCCGAAGAAGACGGATAATGTAAATAGTATACCGGAAGCCGTACTATTACAACAAAGAACAGCTCGAATCTTCAAACATGTCTATAATGATCTTAATTACAGCTCAAGTATGTGCCCGACTTAAGAGAACGAGTTTAGCGAATATACAACAATGGAGCGTAACTTGTTCAACCTTTAGCATTGGTGGCCACAATCTTAACAACATAAGATATGCAGATGACACAATACTGAAAAGAAATTACAAAATCTCCTAGAAAAGTTAACGACAGTGAAGCGTGTAAAGAAGGGATGAAGCATAAACTACAAGAAAACAGAATGCATGGTCATCAGTTGAAAGATGAGCCCGAAATGCAATTAGCAAGTCGGGGACACTAGAATCAAACAGACGTGGGACTTTAAATATCTGAAGCGTCTTGATAGAGGATGGTAAGTGCGACACTGAGATCCGTAGACGTATTGGGATGGCCAAGGATGCGTTCCAAAAGTTGTGCAGAGTATTTGCAAGACAGGAGGATTTATTTGGTAACAAAGAAAAGAATACTGAGCTGTTACGTGACATCTGACCTTCTTTACGGCAGCGAATGTTGGAAGATTTACTCAAAGATGAAGAAGAGACTTGAGGCGACAGAGATGTGGTTCTACAGAAGGATGCTAAGGATATGATGGACCGAGCGTGTGAGCAACAATGATGTCTTAGAAAGGATGCAAAGGAGGAGACTTATACTTAACAGAAAAAGGCAACTGGAGTTTCTGGGGTACATAATGAGGAAAGAGGGCCTGGAGAATCTGATACTCACGGTTCGAATAGCGGGAAAGATAGATACGGGCAAACAACGCATGACATATCTAGCGGCCTTAAGCAAGGGGATGACAGAACGTTGTCTGGGGGGAGGTGGCAGAGGGAAGGAACTTGTTGAGAGCTGTAAAGGATAAAGGGAGGTGGAGAGCCATGATTGCTTACGTCCTGAAAGGACACGGAATATATAGAAGAAAAGAAACAATACGTTCAGAGTTTTCCTACTCCTGTACTCCTATTGCCACATTCACGATGTTTCGTCCGATTGGAAGTTCGAACTGAGCCTTTATTTCGTCCACCGGGTTAGATTGCCTCAATGTCTTAACTCGGCCAGGTATTGAACTCACAACTCTTTGGTTCAAGTCACCAATGCTTTTATCTACTCGGCCATGTGTACTTGAGGACATCAGTGCATGGATATTGTGGACTTATAAACTTAATGTCTCAGTAACCATTTTTCTCACCAGAGCTTGCAATGTTGTTATTATTGCTTTTCTCTAGCACTCCTTATTACTGGTTCCCATATTGTATTCATTTCTATGCTTGGCCGCCTTAGGAGATTTTTGTTGCCTAGCATATGTGCTAATTCTTTACGTTTTCGTATTTTCCAGTAATGTACTCAGTCTATTATTTCAACCTCATCCCACAAGGAGCGGTGGTCTCCTTTTCTCTCCATATGTTGTCAGCTGATTTTTCTATCCAAAGAGTTGTGAGTTCAATACCTGACCACTCCAGTGGTGAACACAAAACATCGAGAGCTGAGTTAAAGGGACATAACTGAGACATCTGGGAGAGGCATAGCACATGGAACTAGAACCCCGCTGGACAAATAAAGGTTTCATTTCGAAATTCCAATCGCCTGAAGAAGTCCGAGGCGTACAACAGTCGAAACGTCGTGAATATGGCAATAAAGATGATGACAACAGTCCGGACAATGTAAATAATTACAATATCATCTACTGGTTGTTAACCACGGCTAGAGAGTTTAGTGTGTCCTTAACATTTAAATCATGGCTGAGAAGAGAAGAGGTGAATTTTTACCTTTCCCAACGGTATTTTTTGTGAAATTGACTATCTGGAATTCGAACTCTCTTCGCTGCTTATACCTGCACATACACAGTGTTTCAGGATGAACATTGATCACTATTTACATTATTCGGACTATTGTCCTCATCTTTGTCGCCATATTTATTACAACGTTTCGGCCTTCTTCAGGTGGTTGGAATGTCGAACTGAACACTTTATTGGTAGGGGTAGACTGTTCTAATTCCACGTGCCATATTTTAATGCATATCAATTAGCAGTTCAAGTTTAACCGGGTATTGAACTCACACACTTTGGGTCTTGTCACTGGATCTAACTAACGACTTTATCCACTGTCTCCTTGAGGACATCGAAAGGTCATCTGTGTATGAATTTCTGGGTATTATAAACCTAATATCTTCAGCAACCATTTCTACCAGTGCTCATATTGCAATTTTTGCTGTTATCATTACATGTTTTTACCAGAGTTCATATTGCAATTTTTGTTGTTATTATCGCTTTTCTCTGGCACTCCTTATTACTGGTTCCCATATTGTATTCATTTCTATGCTTGGTCGGCTCATGAGATTTTTGTGGCCTAGCATATGTGCTGATTCCTTAAGTTTACGAATTTTCTCAAATTACAGTGTTTCAAAATAAAACTTTTCGTGTTTTCAACTTTACTCCTAGTGGTCATAGCCCAACATATCATACCATTTTGGAATTAGGCCGACTCTGTGAGCAAATCCTTAAATTTTGGATTCCCAGGTTTTCATTACTGCGATTGTTTTGGGCGATTTCTTACATGATTTTTGCCACGAATTTTTTTAAACTTTGGGAATTAATTAATTGCGAAATCCAGCGAAAGTAACGCATGAAATAAAAATAATTGTTTGTGCCGAAGTAAGGACCTACGTACATCAAATTGTCTTTAAATTAAGTGGCGGTAGAAGAATTATCATTGGACTTTTAAAAGGTAAGCTTAAATATTAATGCAATAGTTAAATGCAGCGATTAATTTTGAGTTCTGTTGCTTATTGTCACTTATCGCATCTAGTGCTCCCTACCTATTGTGATGAAGGTCCGATATGGCTGCTTTCAAGCTAGTTCGAGATAATTGGTTCTGATATTTTTTTTTTACTGCTGTTACATACGGAGAACATCTGAAAGGAGAAACAAAATTTCTCTTTATTATTCAGGCCATTCTCTTTGACATGCTTCTCACTTTTCGGCAACGTTTACATAAATGTTGACGTCATTTTCTCTCCTATTTTCTTTCTTTTCTTTTTTTTGTGGGTGGGGGTATTTAACTCTCTTTGTTCTTTCCCTTTTTTCCTTTTTTTTCCCTACTTTTCCTCCCACTCTTATAGTTTCATTCTTCCTCCTCCTCCTCCTTTTTTTCATACTTTCTTCGTTTTTTTTTTCCTTTTCTTTTCACGTTACAACAACAACTACTACTACTACTACTGTCTCACCTATTCTCTTCTGTCCGCCTCCACCCCGCGCCGGTCAAACGTTTACGACTATCGCTGCACCTAACAACAAGACCTTAACCACCGCCGCTGCCGCTTCCCCATCATCCCCACAAAGGCAACAACCTTTCACCTCTGCCACGACGTCTATACTGAAACACACGAACAAGCGAGTAAGTAAATTAACACGCACCAAGTTAAGTTATACTCAGAGAGAGAGATGAAGATCTACATACGTTTCAAATGTACATTCAATGTACACATATATGTACAGACATATATGCGTGGGTGTGTGAATATAAATATATTTATATATATATATATAAAGAGAGAAAGAGAGAGAGAGAAAAAGAGAGAGAGAGAGAGTTCTCGCTACACCCACACACACACATATCTGTATATATAGCGCACTCTCTCTCGCTACACACACACACAAATATATATATATATATATAGGGCTCTCTCTCTCGCTACACATACACACACACACACACACACACACACACACACATATATATATATATATATATATATATATATATATATATATATATATATATATATATATATATGATAGATAGATAGATAGATGTTTATCATTCATGTACTTTACGAATGCATTTGTACGTAATATATAAGAAATTATATACATATACATACGCACTTATTTTTAAGTTACGTTAGTTGTGGGAAGTTGTACAGAATGTTTTATATATAGATATAGATATCCCCCAAATTGTTCTTGATATATAAAAAATATATTTCGTTATCTCATATATATGTGTGTGTATGTGTGTAATAGAAAATAAATACGATAGATTTGTGTTTGTAGCTATATGACTACGTGTGAATATTGAAGAATGAATGCGCATGTATACATGTGTGTGTGCGTGTGTGTATATGCATGTGTAGAGAGAGAGAGAGAGAGAGAGAGAGAGAGAGAGAGAATGCTCCAATATATGCATAGTAATATATAGTAATACACATATAGATTGAATATTATTTCATATATTGTGTATAACATACATACACATATACCAAATAATTACATATTTACACACACACACACACACATATATATATATATATATATATATATATATATATATATATATATATATATATATATATATATATATATATATGCGGCTGTACAAATGATTAGAATATGTGTAGAATCGCATGAATACTTATATATGTCTACATACATATGTGTGTGTGTGTGTTCTGCAAAGAGAGGTGTCCCCTCACACGTCCACTGACCACCCTGGTCTCCAGTTCTTCCTCCTCTAACGCAGTTCAACTTCCGCCCATCCCCAATCTCGTCTGACAGGCCTCCACGTCTGTTTGGCTCGGCTCCAACCAGCGGTGACGTCAACCAGCTGAACAAGTAGACACGACTAGACGAGATGAGGGTCGTGTCGTGTCGGTTGGAAAACACGCCGCCGTGCTCACCACCTTCTATCCACCCCACCTGCAGCCTTGCTCTCTTTCTCTTGATCACGATTTACGCAAATCTCTCTCTTTCTCTCTCGACTTTCGCTCTCTCTCTCTCTTCCTCTCTCTTTACCGCGGCGTCACCATTTTCCCCTAAATTTTCACCTTCTCTCTTTACGATTACTTCCTAACTCTTACATCACCTCTCTATCCCCCTCTCTCCTTTTCTCTTGTATATCTTTTTTTCCTCTTTTCGAATTCCTGCAATCTTTCTTTCACTTCACACTTCGGAATGGTTCCTTTATTAATGGTTCCTCTCTCTCTCTCTCTCTCTCTCTCTCTCTCTCTCTCTCTCTCTCTCTCAGTTCTCCTCCTTCTTTGATAAGACTCTCTCTTCGTCTCACACTCTCCCTATATTTATCTTCTGTTATTCTCTCTTTGTTTCCCTTTCTCTTTATCTCTATGTTTTCACTCCGTATTTTTTCTCTCTTTTTATTCTCTCTATAATTATCTCTCTCTTTTTATTTCTCTCTATCTTTATATATATATATATATATATATATATATATACTTTTCTCTTTATTTTTCTATCGCTTTCTCTATATACTTGTCTCTCTCTCTCTTTATTATCTCTCTATTCCTCTCTTTATTTCTCTTTCTATCTCTGTTTATTTCTCTCTATTCCCCCTCTCTTTTCATTCCCTTCAATTTCTCGCTCCATTTCTTTTTCTCTTTCAGTTTCTTTCTCTCTCTCTCTCTCTCTCTCTCTCTC